CTTAAATGCTTGCTAAGTATCTTGTTATAATGAGAAACCTTTCTCATTACAACAGATACTTTTCTCGTTTTTATGAGATTCGTTCACATTAAAATGGTATTTTTCTTGTTGTTACGACAAAATGCATTTTCTCCTTATAACAACATAGGCTATACCACACTTGCTTTGAGCAGTACGCTCATTCAGGTCAGTAGCCTCCAACACCTCCCATTTCAACTTTCTACACACAATGACCAGCATTGCACCAGGAGGTGCTCCCCAGCTGCCGTTACTCATGTTGAGCTGCACAGGGCTCACATTAGGGAGTAGAAATGGATCCACTTTAGGGGTGTGTGATATTATATTAGATACAGTCAACTGATTTTTTTACCAAAGTATCTGTATCCACAGTAAAATGACAAAACCTGAAAGGCTGCTCAGTGAGGAAGAAGCCACTGCTCCTAGACCACCATAAAAAAGACAGACTATGGTTTGCAGCTGCACACTGGGACAGAGATCTAACTTTCTGGTCTGATGAAACAAAAATTGAACTGTTTGGCCATAATGACCATCATTATGTCTGCAGGAAAAAGGCGGAGGCTCACAAGCTGAAGAACGCTATCCCAACCGTGAAGCACAGGGGTGGCGGCATCATGTTGTCTGGGTACTTTGCTGCAGGAGGGACTTCACAAAATAGATGGCATCATGAGGAAGGAAGATGACGTGGATATAATGAAGCAACATCTCAAGACAACAGCCAAAAAGCTTGGTCACAAATGGGTCTCGTCCAAATGGACAATGAGCCCAAGCATACCACCAAGGTTGTGGCAAAATGGCTTAAGGACAACAAAGTCAAGGTACTGGAGTGGACACCACAAAGGCCTGACCTAAATCCAATAGAACATTTGTGGGCAGAACTGAAAAAGCATATGTGAGCAATAGGGCTGGGCGATATGGCAAAAAATAAAAATCTAGGTTTTTTCATAAAATGTGACCGATTCACAATTTCGATTTTTTTTTTTTATGTGTAACTAGCCAACTTAAACGCAAGTACAACAACATGACTGAAGTAACATTCTCTTCTTAAGTACCGGTAACTTGAAAAACCATCAGTTTAAGAAACATTGTATTTTAGTGTGCATGCCATACATAAATTGGTCAACAAGGTGTAAATAAATGTAAAACAAATTCTCTAATGAAATGTCTTTGCAGCTGAATTAAATATGAAAGTAAATATTGAATTCTTCTTAATACAGAGTAAGAAAATAACAATTTTAAATCAATGACCAATGATTTTAACCAATCAGTCAACTAAAAAATTAAGCACATTTACACCAGAAGCATTATTAACAGTAAATGTTTGATAAGAAGCCAGCACATCTTTAAGCCCTTGACCAATTACT